GTTATGGATTTAAAAGTGTAGATACCATTATGTGATTTTCTGTTTGTTGAGGGACCGAACTGAAAATCAATATTTCTTATTTATTTGGTTATGGCCCCAAACGACGAAAAGATATGAGCAGATTTATGAAGGGGTGCTTTTTCCCTTTAAAAGCACTCACCTTCTCACTTTAGAATGATTGAATATAACAAAATCATATATCCAATACAAACACTACAGATCAAAATCTGCTATAAGGTTCGATCGTTTGGAAGACCATACCAGTCCAACAAGATCGTTTGGAAGAACACAACAAATGAGAATTATCAAGCAAATGAATTCATGAAGTACGGTACGCTTCCGCTTTTATTCGGTTTGATTCTCAATTATTCGATATGAATGCTCATGGGGTAAAGCGGTTTTCGCATAAGGTTAAAATTTACAACAAGTGGTATCAGAGCCTCTTCATATTGGATATTTGAGAATCAATTTGTTTTCGCATCTCGAATTATTCATGTGGATTCATAAGGTGATGAGTCTGTTCTGTATGAATTTTTCGTTTTGTTGCTCGGGGAATAAATTTGATTGAGTTGGCAATTAAATAATTGTTCATGTAATTTGATACATATTTATAGATCCAATTCAATTTTTTTTATTTATTCACGTTATTTCTTTTAAAATTGAATTGTTCGAGAAATCGAAAGTTTAGGTTATGATCTATTCGTTCTGGGAATATGATCAGTTTGTTTCAAATAATTGGCTTATGTTGGTTGTACTCAAACTTGAATTATATGTAGCCTTTGCTTTCAGAACAACATTAATTTGGTTGTCTTTACCTTGAAAGCATATTTGGAATTAATGCCTATGGGGTTGTAGGATGATTCAACCAATGCATATTTGAAATTTGTCATATAATGTTTAAGGATGCATAATATGATTTTTTTTTTTTTTTTNNTTTTTTTTTTTTTTTTTAGCTTCATTTCATGATTTTTTGGTATAACAAATACTCTATAATGCCTCGTGAATCTTCAATTTCTTTTTGTTTAGAGAAATTTCAATGTGATTTGTAAAAATTCAGATGCTATTTGGATTTATTTGCATTATAGTATCTTAATGAGTACACATGTTATAATATCAGTGCTCATGTTTTAATCCATCGGATTGGCCTGTCTCTTTTCGTGAGATAAATAAATATGGTGCTTGAATTGTTCTCTTATAATTATTCAGAATGTATTTACGGATTTATTTAATTTCATGAATTTATGTGTTGTTTTCATGATTTTTTTTTTTTGGTATATTGGGTGTGAATTCTGGTTTCTGAGCATCAATATGGGGCCTTAGGGCTGTTTTCGGGCTGTGGCCTGTGGGGTTTTTCCGGACCGGACCCCAGGGTGTTGGGCAGAGTGCCTTTTCAGGGCCTGCTCACAACCATTCGGCTAATCTAATTTTCATTCATTATGAGTACAAGTCGTTTCAATTTATATGCGATTTTACTAATTGATTATATTATTATTATTATTATGGATTCACTATGGTTACACCCAAATGAGGTTAATTCTCTAATTTTTGAATTAAGTTATTATTATTTATTTATTAATTGTGCAAATATAGTAATTTAATTTCGTGATTGCACACATGTATAAATAAATGTTTCAATCATTTCGTTTAAATTTGTTTGGTACATCTCATGTTCCTATTTCTAATTTGTCTAATAATCAAGATGAGTTAATTGAAGCAAGAAGTTGCAAAAGTGACCTCTCTTGTGTAGATTTATTTGTCGAGAATTTTAGATGTTTGTATTTGTATAGTTTCATGCGATTGTTTAATCGGCCCAAAGGAAGATTAGCATTTGGCAGAAATATATAAATACCTGTGGTGGTAAATATATGACAATATATGGTTATATCCATGTGAATAATATGTCTTTCAAAAGAGAGACTATTGTTTGACAGGAATTTTGTCAATATTTGATTACTACACAAAGACGACCACTTACAAATTAATATTATTGTCCAAAGACTTGATATTGATGTTGTGCTAGGTGCCTTGAGATGTTACTAAGCTTATTTAAAATTGTATGATTTATGTTGATTAAGTTATTATTATTCTCTGTTAAGTTATGATATATGGTACTTATATATCTGCTAATACCAACAACATTCCTAAGGTTAAGGATTTTATTATTATTATTTTTTTTCCCGCTAAAGATTTATATTTAAGATGGGAAATGGATACTTTTTGAGGATGTTGAATTTGGGGGGAGAAATAAGGCTAAGGACATTATCTTTGAGGAAGAATCATTTTCGATTTCTACTACTGCTTCTGACAATGTGCATGTCTCTATTCTTGTAATTAGTCGAAAAGTAGATTTGGAACCTCAACAGGATAATGTCAAGAATCTCTCAACTCAAACTAGTTTAGTTATTCAGGATGAACAAACTCAACAACCTCAATAACTTATGCCATTAAGGAGATACACTTGAGATTAAAGAAATAACATTTTGGATGATTATGCTTTCTTCAAGAAAATAAAGGCAATAATGACTTGAAAGAAAGTGATCTTATGGCATCAGTAGCATATTTTGATCTTGTATTTCATTAGATGGATATAAAGACAACGTTTCTCAATGGTGGCATTGATGAAACGATCCATATGGTACAACCAGAAAGCTTTGAGGTCGATGACTTGAAGAAAATGGTTTGTAAACTAAAGAAATCTATCTATGGACTCAAACCGGCATCTCGTCAGTGGTACCATAAATGTCATCAGGTAGTAATCTCATTTGGTTTTGAGACGAAAGTTGTTGATAATTGTGTGTATCATAAATTCAGTGAGAGTTTAATGTATGCCCGGGTCTTTACAAGACTATATATATCTCTTATTGTTGGTATAGTAGATAGATATTTAAGTAAATTTAGTATAGATCGTTGGAAAGCAGCCAAACGGGTCATAGGATACTTACAGAGAACTAAAGATTACATGCTCACTTACAGAAAATCAGATCATTTGGAGGTCATCGAGTATATTGATTCTGATTTTGGTGGATGTCAAGACAGCTGATTTTGTAGCTTGTTATGAGACATCCAATAATGGAATATAGTTGCAAAATTGTCACTGAGCTGCATATTATTGAGAACGTAGAAAGACCACTAAAGTTTTATTGTGACATCAATTCAGCAGTATTATATTCCAATTACAGTAGGAACTTAACTAAGTCAAAGTATATCGACATAAAGTTCCTATTTATAAAATAAAGAGTACAGAGTGCACAAGTTGCTATAGAACATATAAGGACAGACTCAATGATTGCGGATCCGCTTACTAAAAGTCTAATACCCAAGGTCTTTCATGAACATACTGTCTAAATGGGTGTGACACAATTTCAGAATACTTGGTTTTAGTGGGAGTCTGTATTAATTGTTCTATAGACATATTGTATATGTGTGTTTGGATATTTCTTATCAGATATAAAGTATTCGGTGTATTATACTCTGTAATTTTGGTTTTATATTGATCTCACTATGGAATAAAGTGGCCAGTTGAAAATAGGCATGTAAGATCACATTACATGTAATTTTCATGCTACACTTCCATGATTGATCTATGTCATTTGATTGTATTGATATGTGTGATTATTGATGGGTTGATTCATGCTAAAAATGATGAAGGCCTCTTTAGTCCTATGTCATACGATTAATGGACGAGATTGGTAAAGGATACTCTTGTTTGTGACAACAAAGTTTGAGCTCATAAAGTAGTACACGTTTGTTCGGTTGTATATGTAGTCCAAGTGGGAGATTGTTAGAAATATTTTATTGGACAACATATGTAAATTAAATGTGTATAGTTGTCATAATATTATTCAATTAAAGTGATCTACTAATTTGTAATTTTGAATAAAGAGAGTATCAAATTGTTATGGATTTAAAAGTGTAGATACCATTATGTGATTTTCTGTTTGTTGAGGGACCGAACTGAAAATCAATATTTCTTATTTATTTGGTTATGGCCCCAAACGACGAAAAGATATGAGCAGATTTATGAAGGGGTGCTTTTTCCCTTTAAAAGCACTCACCTTCTCACTTTAGAATGATTGAATATAACAAAATCATATATCCAATACAAACACTACAGATCAAAATCTGCTATAAGGTTCGATCGTTTGGAAGACCATACCAGTCCAACAAGATCGTTTGGAAGAACACAACAAACGAGAATTATCAAGCAAATGAATTCATGAAGTACGGTACGCTTCCACTTTTATTCGGTTTGATTCTCAATTATTCGATATGAATGCTCATGGGGTAAAGCGATTTTCGCATAAGGTTAAAATTTACAACAAGACCACGACAGTAAATACAAATTTTTATGCTAATTCAAATTTTGATTTGAAGATATAGACTAAGTACAGTTCATTTGTAACACATGAAAAGAAAAATTACATAAATTCTATTGCTACAGTTCATTTCTAACACATACATAATTTATGCTTATTTTGAAAATACTGTACAATTCATTTCTAACTGTAAACTAATACAGTAAATACAAATTTTCTACTCATTGTCGTTTATATTTAAAAGAAAAATTACATAAATTATATTCCACTAATTTTAGTTACACGATCTTGGAAAAATAAAACTTCAAAATTTCATCTCTCCTCCCATTTTTATCTATATAAACTTCATCTCTCCTCCCATTTTTATCTATATAAATTGAGCTTTATATTTTGAGCCATTAATCACATTTTCATCTATATAAACAACATCAGTTTGGCTTTATATATAAATTTTGAGCGATTAATCACATTAAAAAAAAAAATGGCATTTATAACCAAGATGGTAGCATTGATCAGAACAATCAGGTAAAAGTTCCATAAAGTTTTATTTTAGTGCACATAAATATAACTATAATTGTGTTTTTTGATGTCGATATAAAATTGTGTAACAAAAGTTTTTTTTCGTTTTGAATTTTATATGTTCTTTTTATTTTTTATTTCCTTTTATCATGAAGTGGTCTGAAGAGTTTCAATGCGAAATCGTGGATGGTGTACTGGCACCCACGCCGATTTCTTATAGCTACACGCCATTTGCTTATAATCAGGTATGTTTGTTATGCTTTTTTATTTAATCAATTATATACAAAAATGTAAATGAAATTTCCATTATTACTTATTTATATCTTTATATTAGTATGTATTTTTTTTAAGATTATTATTTTTTTTAAGATTATTATTATTATTATTATTATTATTATTATTATTATTATTTATTTATTTATTTATTGCAGCAAACACCACAACCAATGGCAAGATCAAATCATGTTGAGGGTGCAGAGGCAAATACACAAATTCTCTAATCTTTCTAACATACAATGAACAATGTTATTGTGCATAATTAGTGTTGAAAGAGAGCGAATATCTAGGTTTCAAAAGAAAACACATATATAGAATGAGATAAAAAAATTCTATTTAAAGTCTATTCATCTCATGCTATTTAACAAATTAATATAAATAATTGATTTTCCATACCAGCAACAAGGAATCCAAAGTGGCAAATTTTTAAGCAACAAACCGCGCAATAAACGCAAGAGCGAAGGAGACGAGCCATTGTCTTTTAGACTCTTCAAGTTCATGAATGGTGCCGAAGAATACATCATCGAAGTCCATGAGGTACATATATATACCATGATATATTAGTCTAATAACTCATAATTATGTGATATTTTGACTCTTAATTTGTGTTTTATTTCAAAGTTGTTAATGTAAAATGTGTGTATATATAAAGGTGTCAATGGGTATCGCTAGTCAATCACATATACGAGTGTTCGAACAAGAAGGCGCATGGCGTATGCCTTCAACCGGAAGTGATGACCTAGGAAACCATATGGTGCAACCGTGGTCGGAGGATCCAGACCCTCCTTTATTCATAAAAAATGCGGAGGCCTCGCTCCAAGAGCGTCTAACCGGTTGGACGCTTGAGAAAAGGCAAAGATCTAATGGAAAACATGATATGGTATAGTTTGTGCAAAAGTTGTGCATTATTTTGAAAAGTTCATAAATCAAAAGTATATGTTTGAATATGTTATAATCTCTAACTCTTTTTGTGATGCTTAATTTTGACAGTTCTATTATCACCGGCGAAAACAATATAGATCCTTTTACGAGATGGCGACATTTATACTATATGCAAACAAGAGGCCGGAGGATCTACAATTTACGGATAATGCCAATGTGTGATTTGAGCAATCGCAAGTTCTGCACTCAATCATGTACTTGTATCCAAGATTGAGTATCTATCTATCGTAGTTGATCATTGTAATGTTGGTTGGTTTGTGCTTTTTCTATATTTTTTTGGGTTATTTTTGCAAAAAATGTGTTTTATTAGAGAGTTGTTTGTGATTTGAATATTGATTGTTTTGGAATGTTTTCTAAGAGTGAAAGTTTGAAGGTACTTGTTGCAAGAGTGTGTTTCTTCTTGAATGAAATAAAAATCGGACAAACTTGAACGCTACAAAAGAGAAAAAAATGGATATATTGAAATGAAAATAAAACAATTATCAAAAAATTAATATGTAAGAATATATGGCCCGAAAGCATTGGGCTCACATTTAATTATCCTATTGGGCTAGGCCTTTATTAAATAGTCAAACAAATCTAAGCCATTAATCTGGATACTTGATGGACGTACCAGATCTAAAGCCACCCATATATAAATTAGTCCACTCTCCTCCTATTAGGGCACGCAGTATTATCCCATCACTTTTCTGCTACGTTAAGAGAAGGTCAGGAGAGAGAAACTGATTTAGAGATCTACCCATCGATTCAATCCTGTGTGATCATCAAGATCAAGATCACAAATTATATCTGTCTTCCGCATCAAGTAAGTATTTCGTATACACAAATTATTTATTCAAGATCCTTAATGAAGTTTACATGTGGTATCAGAGCATGTGTTGTGAATAAATAATTTGTTTGTATAAAAGCATGTCCGTATGGTAATTTATGAACCTCACTGTCTTGTATGGATTGTCGTCATTCGTAAGTGATATCGCAATTTCCGAATGAAATTAAATGGCTTGATTGATTGCGATTTGAGTTGGTTGTGATGGGTTGTGATGGGTAATTTTTGTACGGATGTGTGTGCTAATATATTACATGTTTTTTTTTTGGCAAATTGAAAGCATAAAACATCAAGTTGGGGAATATTCAATTGCTGCTACAACATATGTTAGCCATGTGCGCATTACATTGGTGTGTATGAGTGTATCTCAATTTGAATGATGTGGGCAGTAAATTATGAATTCCCTTACCTTATCTTTGAACATACCTTGATTCTGTTAAGGATTCTGTTTAATGTGTATTATGTGTTCATGATGGAGGAATTACTTAAGAGATCATACACGATTAGCTCATGGAAATAATATTATGTGAATTCCTCGGACTGAAAGTGTTAAGCTTGCTTTGACACTATAATTGTTTATTATATGACATTAAGACAAAATTAATTTGTTAGTCACCAAAGTGGCCTAATTAATTTTTAATGTTCGGTCATATAATTTATCGTTATGAATGTTTTTTTATATGACATTAAGACAAAATTAATTTGTTAGTCACCAAAGTGGCCTAATTAATTTTTAATGTTCGGTCATATAATTTATCGTTATGAATGTTTTATTATATGACATTAAGATAAAATTAATTTGTTAGTCACCAAAGTGGCCTAATTAATTTTTAATGTTCGGTCATATAATTTTATCGTTATAATTGTTTATTATATGACATTAAGAGAAAATTAATTTTTTAGCCACCAAAGTGGCCGAATTAATTTTCTAATGTTTGGTCATATAATTCATGTTCTCTTGAGAATGTCATTATATAAGATAATGCGTTTATTGGCTGTTAGAAATTATGGATTTACCCAAAGGTGAATCAATGTTCTATAACTAATAAACATTAAGGAGAAATATAATATTCTCTTGTCGAGCGTATATAGATATCCAAAGATATTATGTATGTTAAACGAAGTTTATTTAATTTTTCATTAAGTGTTAAATGACATTCAACTTATGATGATGATATATATTGTTGAGTTTATCCAAAGGAGGCCTGCAATATATGGTATGAATGTATTTTCTGAATCTATTAATTAAGTGAGCAATTATGATTGTGCATGTCTCTCTTCATTCGCAAGCTTCTTCTGTTATTGTTTTCAATGGTTTGAATTTCTCTGAATGGCGTGAGCAAGTCAATTTCCATTTAGGTGTTTTGAATATTGACTTGACTCTGCTTGATGAAAAGCCCGATGACATTAATGATCAAAGTAGTGAGGCTGAGAAATCAAACCGTAAGGCTTGTGACAGGTCTAACAGATTATGTTTGAGCTTTATGCGAATGACGATTGCCAACAACATCAAGTCAACTCTTTCTGATAATGTGGATGCAAAAGCATACCTTTTGCTTGTGGAAGAGCGTTTTTGTTTCGCGGATAAGTCATTGGCAGGAACACTTATGGCTGAACTCACGACCAAAAAGTATGATGGGTCGCGTAGTATGCAGCAACATGTTCTTGACATGACTAATCTTGTAGCAAGGCTTAAGTCCCTGGGCATGACCGTTGATGACTCATTTCTGGTGCAATTTATGTTTAACTCGTTGCCTCCTGAATATGGACCATTTCAAATTAACTATAACACTATTAAGGATAAGTGGGATGTTAATGAATTGGCCAGTAAGCTTGTTCAGGAGGAGACGAGGCTTAAGGCACAAGGAGTTCATACGGTCAACCTTGTGGGTCATGGAGCTAATAATGTTCTCAAACCAAAATCCAACCAGTTTAAAAAGAAGAGACCTGCTAAAGTTTCACAGGTCACTAATGATGAAAAGAAGGAAAATCAGGCAAATAAATGTTATTTCTGTAAGAAAGAAGGTCACATACAGAAAGATTCCTGAAACGCAAGTCTTGGTTTGAAAAGAAAGGTATTTCTAATATCTTTGTATGTTTCGAATCAAACTTGTCTGAAGTTCCTTCAAAAACATGGTGGTTGGATTCTGGTGCAACAACTCATGCTTCTAATGTGATGCAGGGATTTCTTACAATCCAGAGCATAGACCCAAATGAGAACTTCTTGTTGATGTGGAACCGTATGAAGGCCCCAATTGAAGGTATAGGGACTTATCGTATTGTTTTAGATTCCGGGCACCACCTGGATCTTTTGCAAACTCTCTATGTACCTTCATCTTCTAGAAATTTAATGTCTATTTCTAGACTTGATGTTCTTGGGTTTTCCTTTAAGTTTGGACATGGATGTTTCAGTTTGTTTGATAAACATGATTCTATTATTGGTTCTGGAATTCTTATGGATGGTTTATATAAACTGAAACTTGATGTTGATTTTTCTGCATCTTTAATGTGTGTTCATAAAAACATTGGAATTAAACATGGTGTAGCAAATGAGAACTCTACTTTCTTGTGGCATAAACGTTTGGGTCATGTATCCAAAGAAAGAATGTAAAGGTTGGTGAAAGATGAGATCCTTTTGGATCTAGATTTTACCGATCTTGGGTTGTTTGTGGATTGCATTAAGGGAAAGCAAACCAAACATAACAAGAAAGGAGCCACAAGAAGCAGTCAGCTTCTTGAAATTATACACACTGATATATGTGGACCTTTTGATGCTCCATCCTTCAATGGAGAAAAGTATTTCATTACCTTTATAGACGATTTTTCACGTTATGGTTATGTCTATCTGCTCAAGGAAAAATCTCAAGTTGCAAATGCACTTGAGGTTGTCATTAATGAAGTTGAAAGACAATTAGACAGAAAGGTGAAAATAGTAATGTCTGATAGAGGTGGTGAATACTATGGAAAGTATGATGAATCGGGACAAAATCCTGGTCCATTTGCTAAGTTCCTCGAAAGACATAGCATATGTGCACAGTATACTATGCCAGGCACACCTCAACAAAACGGTGTAGCGGAAAGGCGAAATAGAACATTAATTGATATGGTTAGAAGCATGATAAGTAATGCATCATTACCCAAATCTTTGTGGATGTATGCACTTAAGACTGATGTGTATCTGCTAAATAGGATTTCCATTAAGGCTGTTCCTAAAACTCCTTTTGAGTTATGGACTGCAAGGAAACCTAGTCTGAGACATCTGCATGTTTGGGGTTGTCCAGCAGAAGCACGAGTATACAACCCACATGAAAAGAAATTGGATTCTCGAACTGTGAGTGGTTACTTTATTGGTTACCCAGAGAAGTCCAAAGGGTATATGTTTTACTGTCCTAATCATAGTTCTAGAATCGTTGAAACGGGCAATGCTAGATTTATTGAAAATGGTGAAGTTAGTGGGAGTGCTAAAGCGACTGTAGAAATTAATGAAATAAGGGTTGATGTTCCATTACCCATTAATGTTTCAATATCCACAGTTGTGCCAAATATTATTCCACAACCTTAAGAACAAAATAATGGTGGACAAAATTTGGATGATGTAGTACCCCATAAAGAAACTAACTTGCCACCAACTAATATGAATAAACCACGTGGAATAGCATTAAGAAAACCTACAAGGGTGGGAACATCTGCTATTTCGGATGATTATATGGTTTATTTGTAAGAGTTGGATTATGCTACTAGCATTTATGAAGATCCTGTTTTGTTTTCACAAGCCATTAACAGTGACGAATCTCATAAATGGATTGATGCTATGAAATAAGAGTTAAACTCTATGGCTAAAAAATAATGTTTGGGATTTAGTAGAATTGCCAGAAAATTCAAGACGAGTTTGGTATAAATGGGTCTTTAAGACTAAACGCGACTCGGGTGGCAATATCGAACGACATAAAGCTAGACTTCTTGCCAAGGGTTATACTCAGAAAGATGACATTGATTATAAGGAGACTTTTTCACCTGTTTCTAAGAAGGATTCTTTAAGTATCATTATGGCTTTAGTAGCTCAACATGATCTAGAGTTATATCAAATGGATGTAAAAACAGCCTTTCTTAATGGGAACTTAGATGAGGAAGTTTATATGGATCAACCCGAAGGTTTTCCATAGAAGGAAATGGTCACATGGTGTGTAAACTTATGAAGTCAATATATATGGACTTAAACAAGCTTCCAGACAATGGTATATTAAGTTTAATGATACCGTCACGTCTTTTGATTTTCAAGAAAACACTGTTGATTGGTGTATTTACCAAAAGACTAGTGGGAGTAAGTTTATATTTTGGTTCTATATATTGATGATATCCTTTAAGGGACGAGAGATCATATGCTCACGTTTAGGAAGTGTAATTGCCTTGAGGTGATTAGATATTCAGATTCAGATTTTGATGGGTGCATTGATAGTTGAAAGTCAATGTTTGGTTATGTGTTTCTCCTTGCCAAAGGAGCAATATCATGGGAAAGTGTCAAACAGACTGTCATAGTTGCATCTATTATGGAGGCTGAATTTGTAGACTTTATTTCGGGACATGGGGTTGTCGACACCATTACTAAGCCGCTGAAAATGTATTGTGATAATTCCGCAGCAGTTTTCTTCTCCGAAAACAAAAAATATTCCAAGGGTGCAAAACACATGGAATTAAAGTATTTTGTCGTTAAGGAGGAAGTTCAGAAACAAAGAGTGTGCATTGAACATATTCGAATGGACTTTATGATTGCAAATCCATTCACTAAAGGTCTGCAACCAAAGACATTAAAGAACATGTACATATAATGGGTCTTGGTTGTATTGATTATTGATTATAATGAAGTTATGGCACACTCTTGAGCTCATTGATGTTATGTTTCTGACTATTATCGAATTTCTTGTTCATTATGATTTTGTATACATTATGTTTAGAACAAGAAATGAAAGTCTTCATGACAATTAAGTGGACATTATGATATTTATATATAATTATGAAACTTGATGTGTTGAACTGTTAGTGTAGTAGTATATGGAAGGAAGTATGCGAATCAAGAGTGTACAACCGCCATAACTCTCACTATATGGTTTATCATGTCATAGTTTATTATGATGTATGGCGTAATGAGATTTGTTTTTGCGCACCTAATGTTACACTATTAAATTATGGACTTTCGGACCAAGTGGGAGAATGTAAGAATATGTGGCCCGAAAGCATTGGGCTCACATTTAATTATCCTATTGGGCTAGGCCTTTATTAAATAGTCAAACAAATCTAAGCCATTAATCTGGATACTTGATGGACGTACCAGATCTAAAGCCACCCCTATATAAATTAGTCCTCTCTCCTCCTATTAGGGTACGCAGTATTATCCCATCACTTTTCTGCTACGTTAAAAGAAGGTCAGGAGAGAGAAACTGATTTAGAGATCTACCCATCAATTCAACCCTGTGTGATCATCAAGATCAAGATCACAAATTATGTCTGTCTTCCGCATCAAGTAAGTATTTCGTATACACAAATTATTTATTCAAGATCCTTAATAAAGTTTACATAATATAAATATATGTATATTTATTTATTTATTAATCGAGAAAAATAATAACATTTGCACTGATTCTGCACGGAACTAGTAAAGCTAAATGATTGAATGAAGATTTTAAATGAATTAGAACCGGAGAATGCTTCCCTCAGAACTTATAAATAATTGGTAATTCAAACTTAAATATAAGAATAGACTTGATTTATTATTCTAGATATGAAATATATCAATCGAATTATAATAATAAATAAACAAACATTCACAACATGTATTAATTTTTTTTTTTAAAAAAAAAAGTTGACTATAGAACCACCTGCTAATTGGCTAGAAAAATAAATCAAAATTCACATAATATATAATTTCTAAAATTATGAAAAAATAAAATAACTAAAAAATTATGAAAAAAGTAAACTTTAAATTGATTAAATATCTATATCTATTGAAAGAGGTTGATGGAAAAATCATTTGAGGAAAGTCGATTAAGAAATGGGTCAAAGCCTTTGACTTACTTCTTTTGGTAATGCGATTTGAATTCAAATTTTGAATGACTTTTGATCTTCACGTGTTTAATATATCTTATTTGCTAATTTTAAATTATTTATGGTATAGATTACGTATACTCTTTTGCGATATTACAAATTGATTATGGTACAGATTTCCCACGCAAAATTTACTTGAAATCCGGTTTTATCTGTAAAGGATTCTATTAATATTTTAAATCATTTATAAATTAGAGTTTTGGTTGGTTGGTCGTGAACTTAGTTTGTAAATAAATCCGGTGTACCATGTTTATCTGAAATTTATTTGGATAATTAATGGAGAGATTTTCTTTACAAAAAAACGTGTGGCCGTGAAACTTTATTTTTCTTTCTAATTTATAATTAAAATATTATTTATAATCAAAATATTATTTATAATTAATTAAATAAAATTTAATATATTATTTTTTTCACAAATAGATTGGGCTACTATAATCAAACAGACATTGATATATTCTTTTATAAAAATTTCATCATTTGTAATTGACTTGTATAAAATTGCACAAATTAACACAAATGTAATCCGAGATTTTGATTTACATATTATTTGACCAACTATAAATCCACCATTCATATTTACATTCTAATAAATAACAAACTTATTTAATGAAATAATCATATGAACGAATGATAAATATTAATCTACATCAATCAAATTTAATTTTACCTATATTGTTTCATAGAAACACATCTAAATAAATAAATCACAGGTCAAAGAATTTCAATTTCACATGCCAGCGGATAATAAAAAAACTAATACATTGTTACCAAATTTTAAGGGAACATTAACCTATAACAAAAAAATTACTCATTTTTAAAAACTATTTTTATATTCAGATTCAATTATATCTACAAAACATTCTTTCACAATTTTGTTACATAATTTTTAGGAAATCTTGTTAAAACAATTCTTAAAAGATTTGAATATTTCTCGTTTTATGTTAGTAAAAATCCAAGTAGATAGTAAAATATATCTCATTTAAAAGATTCATTATTAACTTATGACAAAATAAGTTGGACCGAATGGAAACGTCACAAATCATGAACGATTATTTTTAATTAGAACCATATATCAAATTTAACACAAATAATTTACATTACCGACATAAGTAGTCAATTACACTAATCAATTACCACACCTGTTTAGCATTTTTTTCAATCCCTAATCTATAGAATCCGACTAATTTCAATTTTTTCCACCATATCAATATGCCGCTCGTGTAGCGTTTTTTTAAGTTAGTTTTCCGAACAAACAAGTCATACTTGAAATTAAGCCCTTGTTTGGTTTGTAGGATTAAGGGGGATATCCCGCCTAATCCTGGGCTAATCCTGCTTTTGGTTTAATGGATTAAAGCCCGCAGGATTGGGTCGGCCCGGGATAAAAAAGTAAATTATCCCATGAAATTGGGATAACTTAATCCCCCCTTACATGGGATTAATCCAATCCCAAGAACCTAAAGTCGAATTTACCCTCCTCTTAATAATTTTCGGACAATTTTAACCCTCCCTAACACACAATTTACAAATGAAATCTAAATCAAACCACTACAAAAAAATTGTTATATTCCAACGGAAAATTCTACGGTAATATATTCCAATGGAAATTCCAACGAATATTCCAATGGTATAGCTTCCGTTGGAATCATTCCAATGGAAATTCTAATGAAAATATTCCGTTGGAATGTGTTTTCCATTGGAATTTTAGATGGAATTTGATGATTCCAAAGGTTTTTTACCGTAGGAATTTCCGTTGGAATATGCAATTTCCGTTGGAATTTTTATTCCCACCCCTGTTGGAAAATCTACCGTTGGAATCGTCAAAATTCAACGGAAATTCCAATGGAAAACTCATTCCAACGGAATATTTTTGTTGGAATTTCCGTTGGAATAATTCCAACGAAAATAATAGCATTTTCTTGTAGTGAACGTCATTTACGCTAGTGAAACTTATCCTCATTAGAACCAAATTAAAAGCTAGGTAACATAGCAGGATGTCATACAGAATGGACTACAGTCCAATTTAATTTCATCATTAATGTATGACTCATACCACACAAAACGACGAGGAAGAAAAACAAGAAATTAGCATGTAACCTAAAAGAGTGAATGCATTAGAAATAGAAACATGAAAATAAAAAACACATTTTAGGCATATAAAACAACACAATATACAAACGCACAAAAGGATCACCGATTCACCAATCGCTTGACGACATACAAAATTGAAATCACGGCGGTGAAAACCACATCAATGAGTACGAGAATCTAGATCTTAGATCTATGGGGGTGGGGCCTGTACAGATCGTCCTTTGAGGATAAATATTGAGGAAGAAAAGGCTGGAAATACGAGCGGCACGAGCGATCCCGAGAATATCGATCGCGACCGTTGTCATCGTCTTCTTTGGCGGCGGATGAGTGGTGATGAATGAATTCAATTTTTCCTTTTTTTTAACAAATAACTTATCCAACACCAATCCAACATATCAAACACGGGATAAAATAATCCAAACATTATAATCCCACAACTTTGGATTATTTTTGTCCAGTCCCATCCTACCAAGCAAACATGTACTAAGGGTTGCTCATATATTTGAAAGAAAATTTGAAGCCAAGTACAAAAATGTGCTGGAAATAAATTTTCATGATGAAGAGGTAAATAATTTTTTTTTGTCATTTCTTATTTATTATTATCGAATCCATATATTATTAGTCTGTAGTGACAATGACTCGACACTAATTGTCTACAAAAAACTATTCAGTAATTGATGATTTTTTTAATTTGGTCGACCTGTTTACAGTTGTTACATATATATACTAAGTGCATTAAATTAAATATTCAATATTAAAAAAGTTTTAAAAAAATATATCATTCCATACATAGATCACAACTAATTTTAAATATAAACAGTGGGATTAATAATGTACATATCATTGCAATATTTCCCACAAAATAGCCCACTTCACTTTTTAATTTTCTTATAATGCATTTACGTTTCAAGTTGTCATACAAATGGCTTAAATACTCTAAATAATATACGGTGTATGCCTAAATGACATGACAACTAATTTTTATAAGTGAACAGTTTCCATATTGGAGATGCTTGGAACTCAATCATTTGAAGCGAGTTTACACGTCTTGCTACATGAAAAAAGAAGCCGTAAGGAAAGGGGATAAATCGCTGTCATCAAAACCCTAATTAACAGAGAAAAAGGAAAAATTGAAGAAGAATGGCAGGTCATATGTCGGTCGAGGTAGCCAAGACGGTGTTGGAGGTGGCCGACGTGGTGTGGACCGCCGTCGAGTGCTGCCACCACCATCACCACGACCACGATTCGACGGTATTGCCGCCGGAAACCAAAGAAAGAGGGGATTTTGATGTGCAAACGCTGCGCTCCGAAAACGATCGGCTACATCGATTGCTCGAGAAAAACCTCAATCTTCTCCACCAGATATCGGCTTCACCCACTCTGTTACATAATTGCCCATCGGATGTATGATTTTCAAAAAAAATTTCTTTGAAGTTTCTTTGTTTTGGAGAAATTTATGTGACTGATCATGTAATTTCCCAATTGATTGCAGCTTCATGATCGGATTTTATACGCTGTTAATTCTGAAAGCTTCTTGAATGAGCTTGAATTTCTCCGTCAGAAATCTACTTGCTCGTTCCCTTTCGATGACCCATCAGGTCTCTCTCTGATAGAAGTATAAATCGCTGGAAAATTTAATCTTCACATATATTATATATTCATCTGCGTCTGCAAACTGAATGTTTTTCATGTGTCAAAATTGCATCTTTTTTCCACATGGTATACTTTAGTTCCAATTCTTGGCATGCATCGAATGTAAATTGCTCGTCTTTTGTAGTGTTAATGTGAATTCCTTGCAAATGCTCCAGGTGCTGATCTTGAGAAAGCTGAGGTTATGATTAATGTCGATAATGAGGAACCCAGTTGGTGGGTTTGGGTTTCGGAGGACACTAATAATGTTGAAGAGAAGAGTGGGATTGACAGTGAGAATTATGTAGTTGTAAGTGAAGAACATGTTGTGGATGGTGTGGCTAACTTTATGGCTAGGTGTATTTTAGCGAACCCAAAATCGCTGGTAATTTGACTTGATAGTGGTCCCCTTTTTGTTCGTAATCACCTTTGAGTATTTGTGGCATTAGACCTCACATTTTTTGTTCTTTCTTGGCAATGCAGAATTTGAGCCCTATCGAGCTACAAAAAGGTAGGATTTCGAAAGTGTGTGTTTTCGTGTTTCCTTTCTCTTGGATATCAGTGAGAATTCCGACATAAAAAAAAAATGTCTTGTGACAAATTGTTGTTAGTTATTGTGTCATTTAGGCTCCAATGTAGGAACAATCACACACACACACAGGTACGCGCACGCGTATATATATCTGATTATGTGGCATTTACATTGGTAGCAATCACATAAATTCTGTCGATTATTTTCAGCCTTGACGAAAACGCTCAGGGGCATGAATAAAGTTGAGAAAATGATGAATATTTGGCTTGCTGGAAAGATGTTTTACACCCTAGCTACATGGGGTCTTGTTATGGCAAGGTAACCTTATGAGCATATTCGTATTCTTGAAATATTGTGAAAGAGATTAAATTTTATATGCAAGTTAGTCGGGTGATGTGTTTTTTGCCAATAGACCATTCCTGTTGAAAAAGTATTTTGCTGTTTCACTTTGGTATGTCGATTTACTTTGTGGGCCTTCTGTTTTACAGTTTGTACCAAGGTCGAGCTATTCTGAAAGTTGCTGCCCATGGGGTCCATCACACAAGCAAGATTGCATTGAAGGTCTTGTAAATTGTGATACAAAGGGGTCTATTCTTGTGTGTGTAAATTTGAATGTAACTCTAGTTTGCTGTTTAAGTTGTAAAGACCCACGAAAAGTGGACAAGGGAGAAAAAGATGAAAAAAAACCTTTAGTTTCTGTTTATTGTCAAATGTACACAAGTGTGAATGCCATCGAACGTGAGATTATGTAACGAAGTTGGTGCATTGTTGGTTATTGTTCATTGAAATTCAGATTGAAACAAATAATGTGAACTAGTTAGATATGTACACCATCATAACATCTCAAAGGGAGGAAAAGCTGTGTTTTTTGAGAAAATAATTATGTTCAATACCAAAAGAATGAAGAATCATCTGGTTTTCATAAACTTCACCAATAGTTTAACGACATAATATGATGATCTTTATAATTCAATGTCCGGTTCCCCTTGTGAGATTATACGCCTAACTTCATTTGCCAAATCAGTGACATGCTTGTCTTCACATCCTATAGAAATAATATAAATGGTATGAGAATATTGGGAGTCCAAAATAGTGAATTGAATGGAAATTGAAGCTGTTAGACAAATGAATGAACGTATTGGAGACAGATGAAAAAGAAGTAAATGCAAACATTTGAATTACTCGATCAGAAACTGATAATTGCTGCAAAAAATGAGGTTAAGGCCAACTTTTACCTATTTGAATAAGAGCATTTTCTAGTTTGAAAATGTATTCTCTATTTGGTCCTGAGGGGCCTTGTGCCTTGACTATTTGCCTGCAGAATGAAAACAGAAAGAGCTAATTGAGGTATTACAACCACTTTAATTAATATTCTTCTTATGCTAACACCAATAAGTAAAAAACTAATTCATTTACATGGCAATTTCTTCAAGTGAGGCAGGTCCCAAGTAGTTCTGGTTCAATGTCTTGTCTGCAGATGCTATGTATCTGCCACAATTATAACCGTGAGTTCCGAAGAACAAAAAAAAAAGTCTGAAAAATCAAAACACTCAACACTCATCGCAGTGACAGTTGCGAAACTTACACCATAACGTTCGAAACAAGAGGTGTCATATCATTGGATTCCTAAAACAAAATTTAAAATTGAACTCATTCAGATAACACAATGCCATTCACAACTTTTATATATTTATTTTTAAATAAAATGCCCGAGTTACGAATTAAGACATGTACTTACAGTAAAAAAATCAACGTATTCCTTCTTGTCATACTGCTTCTCCCTCACTTCAAGATACTATGCAAGACAACATTGTAGAGAGTTCTTGAAAATCAAGGATAGAAGAAAGAAAATAATAAAAGCAGGACAAGTTCTCTTTTACACAATCATAATTATATTACTCAGCAAATTTTATAATAATTATGTTGAATGGTAGTATTAAGATCCCTCAAACATGTCATAGTTTGCACCTTTTAAAATGTAAATAGTTAATAAATGAGAAAAACTACCTCCAAAGCAGTCAGTTTATCTTCCTTGTGTGTTATTTTGTAAGCCGCGCCCCACTGTCTCGCACATCAAATGCTTATCAAATTCACATATCCCGTCACAGTAAAAATAAACGTTATAAGAGAATGAAAGGCAAAACCACCAAATGTTTTTTTTTTCTAATGGAGCTTTTCAAGGTAATATAACCAGCTTGTAAAAAAGTTTGAATGGTATCTCTAGTAATTCAGATACCTTCCTGCTACAGTGATATTTTAGTTCAAGCATTACATTTTCATCTTTCGATGATGCAGTTGGACCAACTTCAGCAATTATACAACAAGGCAATAGCTATTTTAACTAATTCGAGCACTCAAGACGAATGATCTTGCAAAGTCTGAACAAGGATAGATAACAAGACTCAATCCAATAAAGTTTTATTTTCAGATAACTTACAAAACTAGTTCCTGGGGCAAAAGCATTTTGTATAGATGATTATTTTCTCCCTCTCTCTCTACTATGTTACAACTAAGTTTTTATTAGTAGTTACAGGTGTCTAAATTCCTAAGAAAACAATGAAAAAATCACAAAGAAAAATATAGCAAAAGTCATGATTTTTTAATTAATAAAAAAAAATTAAAAACTTTACGCATTTTTCCCCCTTTGCAGGCTCCAATGTGACGGTTCTTCCGGGAAACTCAGGTGTCCCTCTATGATCCGTGCTTCCTGAATTGAAAAAACCATTTTTTTCGCCACATATCTTATTTCAGGTATAAGATAAGTTCTGAATTAAGTGTTCTTCTGTTTACTGGTAGAGCAAAACACACAAGGACATAGATACTTGAATAAACATTATCCAGTCAAGCTACACAGACAAAAGGATTGACAAACAATTTGACATAAACCAAACACAGCATCATTCTTAAAATCACCAACTATTATACTACCATTAAACTCTATTTCAATTTTTTTTTTTTTCGGCTGATAAAAGGTTTCAGTCCCTCTTTTCACTTCTACCTTAAAAGCCACACACAAACACAATGTACAAAACCAAAATAAGCATAACTTTCATTTAAAAACACTACAAATCTATATCACAAGAAAACCAACACAAACAGATACAGACACCCACACATGAAAAGGCACCTTGGTAGAAAACACGGCGATAGTCTTTGATGAAACCCACGACCCGCTCATCGTACCGGAAACCCGCTTTCCATATCAGAGACCCGTACCCGAAAACCCACATCGCCATTTTCCTTCAAGCCCGACTATTATTTTTTTATTTTTTTCAAGATTGAATTTTTTGATCTATGATTCTATCTCATTCGATCCAAACCAAAAATACAACAGCCCAGATGAGTGAGATAAGATGATTTTAAACAGACACGGATAAAATTGATGAGGGCTTCAAGCATAAGTTAATTAATCCAAATATTCTGGAAATCTTTTTGTTGGCTTTCTTCTTTTTCCCCTTTCCTTTTTTCTTTGAAGAAAAAAGCGGGGATTCGTAGTGTGGCATCGATCGAATCACGGCGTAAAGTATCAGCAATCAGGTGGGTAATTCTGTTGATAGGCCCAACTAGTGATGATGAGGATAGGCAAGCGTGTTAACGGTATTTGGGCTCAGGATGATTTGTGTTGTTCAAAACATGGCTTTGGCCCAAAACTTGATGCTACCCTTGTTCATTATTTCAGGTTCAATACATTTTTTTTTTCAATACTAAAAAGCAAAAGGTTTAGCATATTTTCACATACTAATAGTCTCTAATACCACTTTTTTTTTTTTCTTTTTTTTTTCCAAAAATTTTGATAGGTTAGACGAGTCGAACCCATCTTAATCGATGAATGAGGATATTGCAATATCATGCTTTCAATATAGCATAGTCGTCTCATGTTGTACTTTTAGCATTCGGTATGAAACACAGATCGACAAGTAAAATTCTTCTTATTCTATTGACAAACACAAATTCTTGTTGCGAGATGACTTAACAATTAGAAGGATAGAAGTGTCATATTTTTTTAACACAATTACATATCTATATATATCTAAAAAGGTTGATGTAAAAATCATTTTTAGAAACCTAAAATAAATTGAGTTGACTTTTGACTTTCTATTTATGTAATCTCAATCAAATTTTGAAAATAAAATCGTGAATAGGATTATGTAATTGGTATTCCCGTTAATTAAGTATCAGATCAGATAATCCCATTAATTAAGCAAATCTGTTACGAACCCATTAATTAAGCAAATCTGTTACAAAATCTGTTAAGCAAATGGATATTCTCCTTAATAATGGTGATATTTCCGTTAATTAAGCATGTGAAATTGATTGTCCGTCCCAAAAATCATGGGACTTACTATCTATCCAAATACAATCCATAACTATCTTATCACTTTTGGTTAATAAAAAATATGTAAAATTGATTATCCGTTGCAAAAATCATGGGACTTACTATCTATCCAAATACAATCCATAATTATCTTATCACTTTTGGTTAATAAAAAATTGTATAAAAAGATATTCACTACCACCATTACAACTCATCATTCACGAGTTCAGAGAAAAAAAATAGAGAGAATAATTTTCATCGCATATACAATATAATGCTTCCAGGCTGGGGTAGACTTGATTCCGTTAACAAAAGAAACAAACTTTTTTTTGTGTCTGAGAGCACCCTGCATTATTGAAAGCCATCACGAACGGAGAGCTGTAACCCATCACGAACGCTTAATTCTGTTAACAAAAGAAACAAACTTTTTTTTTTGCGTCTGAGAGCACCCCGCATTATTGAAACCCATCACGAACGGGAGAGCTGTAACCATCACGAACGGGAGCTGGCATTCCATATACTGTTTCATGATGAACAGGTAATATTTACCTTTGTTATTTCAATTTTATATAATTTAGAAAATTATTTTAATTAATATTTATAAATTTGTATCTGCATAATACGTTATCCGAATATGAGAGCAACAAACTTTATATAAACTGAGAGCAGTCTAATTTTTGTAAAATATGTAAACTTTAAACGTGTTTTTATATATAAAATTGTATATACTTTTAAACATGTTAGTTGGGCAAACTTTAAGGATATATATATATGTGTGTGTATGCTAACTTTAAGTATATATATTTTTCTTATAACATAGTCTAGACAGAATTGAGATAATTTCACATTTTTCGATAATAATATAAAATATTTTAATACTTTCACATATGTTATATAATAGTCTACGTATTCTTAATGTCTTTTGGTTGTAACATTGTTAACACATATAATATTAGATACTTTTAAATATATTTAGATAATTTTTTTACTCATTCTTTAATATCTATGTGCATAAAAAGAGAATAAGATTTATAAAAGATTTTCCGGCAATATACTAAATGTTAGATAAAAAATCTCATTTTATTTGTTATATAATATTTCGAGTTGCATTAATTTTAATTTGTATGTGTAAACTTGATAAATTAAGCGTATGAAAAGGAGCGTACGAATTACTGTAAGGATTTAAAAAATAAAAAATAAATCTAATTTTTTTAATATTTTCTACTAACTTCTAAACGAATTTATGTCATAATTCGTCATAATTTTCCCACATCATGTCAATATTAATTTTATATATACTAGGTAAAAGGTAAATCATTATCTCAATATTTATTCTATATATTCTAAGTAAATCTTCTCATCTATCTCAACGGTAGGTAGTATTTCATACTTTTCTATTCATAATCAAATATATCAAAACTTCACAAATTTTACTTCACAAAGAAAGTGTTCAATAATTTATATTATTTTCCCTTCTTTGCAATCCATTTATTTTTGTTACATATATATAAATTATATTATTTTTAATATTTCACACGTTAAACATTTCAGGAAAATATACCATCCCGTGCATCGCACGGGCTACGCGCTAGTTTATGCTATATAATGTCATGTGTTATTTATATTAAAAGTGAAACATTTTAATTTAAAAGTATAGATATATATATTGAAAAAATATGACTATCTAACCGTTAAACATGTCTTACAGTACTTATAATGAAACGTCATGTTTTTAATATTGCACAATCATTTCATGAATATCATATTTTTCATATACCATATTCGTTTAATATTGTTTTTGTTGAAATATTTGGCCCAATCCGCTTCCCTATCTCAGGTCCAAGAAAGCCCCAACCCAAATCCTGTCTAGGTCTGCCCTCACACACTTAATTGGCATGGATGGACCTGGACCGTTGGATTTAGAGATTAAATCCACACCATCCATCTTGATTGCCCTAACACCAAACTCTCGATTCATTCTCTCTCCTCGGAGCTTAGGAGAGCTGACCGGGAGTCCTCTGAAGACGAGCAACATCCTTGGAGATCGAGAAGGCTTACATGCGGCCAGGCGAGCTCAGAAAAACGCATCCGCTGCCAATGCATCGAGTGGTGGAATCGGGGCCAACCACGTAACAATTTTATTCATTTTTAGTATGACATTTAATTATGTAAAGTGTGAATGTTAGGTATAGGTTAGCTGTTTCATGATGAAATGTGTATATAACATATGATATCATAATTATATCGATAACAAACGTATGCATCGCATTCACCAAACATAACAAAATATTTAGTGATTATACTTAATTTCACATTAGAATGTGACAAGAAATTAATAGAGCTAGTTGTACCGAGTACAAGATTTTCCCAAGGAAAACTATATTATACACTGCTCCAACAGCAGAGACTAGAAAGCCGCAGCTCGCATCAGACATCACATTTTACAAAGCAAAAACAGGGGAAAAAGAAAAAAGAAAAAGTAAAAGACAGAACAAAATTACAAAAAACAAGATGATGGGTCACGGGTTTTGGGCCAAACGCATACTGTTTCATGGGTCTTGCTGTAGGAAAGCCTTGTCATTGTTAAACTTTGGATTAACATTAATCTGGACCACGTCAGCGCTGACCACCGGCAGTTCTTGGGCCTTGCCCTCATCGTACGGTGGCGATACCTTGTCTGAGCCCAATTTCTCTCTGCTTTTGCCCCAAACCACAGAGTAAAGCCCAGAAACTATGATCACTGCCCCAATTAAGCTGCCCATAGTTGTAAGAAAAAAAATTAAGAAATGTGTGTCAATATAAGTTCCATATCATGTATCAGAATTAAGAAAATAAATAAACAAATAGAGACTGTAAAATATTCGTTACTTTGCATTTCAATTNTTGGTGATACAAATTGGATAATCGTGAATTAATTCAAATAAGAATAATGTTTTATATTCAAAATTTATATAACTATGCACATATTTGATTCAGAATTCTAAAAGTTCAATCTTATATTTGATTCACAATTTTACCTGCCAAGATGAACTTGCTCGGCCAAAATAATGGCACTCAAAATGGCCGTGATAATCATGCTGAGAGGACTAAACGCGGTCACGAAAACCGGGCCTCTCGTCTTGTTCACTACGCTTTGCAGGTAGTACGCTAATCCCGAACAAACAATCCCCTGTTGGTATATATCACTAATTAAGGACCAATAGGACATAAAACTATTTTCGATTTCGTGCAAATAATTTTTATTGACATTACGATTGAATAAATAATTTTATTGTTAGTATTTGTAAATAAATTTTATTGAAATTACGATTGAATAAATAATTTTATTGTTAGTATTTGTAATTTTACCGAGTAGACAGCAGCAAGAAGCCTAGAATCGAAGCCGATGAGCCAAGCACTCTTGCGTCGCTCCATAACTACGGCCACAACTCCGCCTTCCAAAGTCCCCATCAAACATACTAAGGACGTTAATGATAAGGCCGCCGGATATTCTTTTAGTGTCTTGTTCTGTAGCAAATTTGGTCCCAAAATTAATAACATATTTTCGAAAACTTGTAACAAAATTATCACATCTTAATTTTATTTTATTTTTCCAAAATAAAAAAAAATATATATATATATAACATATAGTTGACAGTGGGTTATTCTTATTCATGTATCACAAATGCTGATATATGTTTTTTTTTATTGTTAAACAATTATTTTTTTAATAAAAAAATTATACGTATAGTATGAATTTTTATTTTTTTTGTTTATATTATATTTTAAAATATGACATTTAAATATAAAATAGCTTAAATATATTAAAATAATATGACGGTCTAAAGACTAGCCCACTTATTATTGGAACTATTTGTACTGCAACGAAACCCTATTGGTTGTTTTTGGGCCAGAAAAGAAAAAAGGTATGATGGATTTTACTTGCAAGATGAAGAAAGCGGCCCAGCCCACTATGCAAGAGAGCATCATAATAGTGCCGGAGACCCAGTGCTGATCGGCGGCGCTGCCGGCGGATTTCTGGTCGCCGCCGCCGCCGCCGTGGAGGAATCCGATCGGTGGGCCCTTGTACAACGTCATCACCATGGCTCCGGTGACGGTTATTAGCGTACCAATCACCTTAGCCACGCTGGATGTCTTTTTCAGATTCACTTTTTCCATCCTGATTATTATTTTATTTAGTAAACGATTCAAAACTTTTAATTGCAAAATAATCAAAATTCGATATTAATAAATTTTGATTGCTATTTATATTTTTTAGCAATTATCATATACCTGAAAATTACAGCCATTATGAAGGTGATGGACGGGAGGACGTTAACGGATGCGGCTGCAAACGTGGCTGACGTGTACTGAATGGCCACACCATACAAATTCTGGTCTAAAACTGGCCTGATTATTTCATTCAAATTTTTAATTAAGAAATTACATAAAAATGTAAACATAATATTTAAATAGAATAACATAAAGCAAGATATACTTTTAATCTATTATGATGAACAGTGAAATTTGAAAGATACATTGGAAATCTTTGTTTTTTAAGGATTATATCCTATGTCATATGTAGTTTAGAATAGGGCCTGCCTAGATTTTCATATGAATTTAAGTTGTGGGGCCTTTTAAAGTGCATATATACTTCCAGTACTATTGGAATAATAATATTCCTTACTACAGTATTTAGTATAACACACTTTGCACGTGCATGCATTCCGGCAATATATTAATGATGTCACATATTTCATTAATTAATTTTTTATGTGGTATTTTAATGCACTAAATACAAGATAGTAGTTTAAGGACATACTCCAGGAAGGCAAGCACCAGAATCTTGAAGAATATTGATTTTGTCATCTTAGGCCTTATTTTCCTGGAAAACAAAGAAGCAAATAATATGACACGATAAAAATAGTGCAGAAAGACGATCGTTTCAAATAAATAAATAAATTAAATCACACATACACATACAAATAATAATAGTAATAATAATAATAATAATAATAATCTTACTTCTCGAGAAAATACGCGAAAGGAGCAAACACCAGTGTAGCGANTTTTGATATGTATGTGTCTCTAATATTTTGTTAGAGCAGGAAAAAAATGGAGTGCTTGGGGGTGTACAAAAATAGCATGGTCGTGGGGTTTTATATACACACAAAAAAGCAAAGCACAAAGAATGAGGAAACCCACATTATTTTGATTATAACACATGGTGGCACATTAGCTTTTTAATTAGTCACCTTTAACTTTAGGATTCCATATCCATTACCTAAAATGCTAACCCAATTGCATCACCACACTACAAGAAAATGATGAAATTCCAATGGAAATATATTCCAATAGCAATTCCAATAGATATTTAATGTTATTATTCCATTGGAATGAGTTTTTCATTGGAATTTCCGTTGAATTTTGACAATTCCAACGGTAGATTTTCCAACGGTGGTGGAAATAAAAATTTCAACGAAAATTGCATATTCCAATGGAAATTCCTACGGTCAAAAGCCATTGGAAATATAGCCGTTAGAATCATTAAATTTCATCTAAAATTTCAATAAAAAATACATTCCAACGGAATATTTTCGTTGGAATTTCCATTGGAATCATTCCAACAGAAGCTATACCATTGGAATATCCGTTGAAATTTCCATTGGAATATATTACCATAAGATTTTTCGTTGGAATATAACAATTTTTTGTAATGGCAATGAGATTTTTCAAAGAAGAAAAAAAAGGAAGAAACGGATTAAGAAAATTACGGTCGTTCGTCTACAAATTCTTTTTTTATTCTATATTTTAAAAGTATTAATTTTTTAATTGTAAATATACTAATTTTTACTGTCTATAAAATTATTTATTTATGGTTTATATTTGTAATTGGTTTATAAATCACATTATATTCTTGGTTAATAACACATTTAGAAATGACATATTATTTTAGTTTGAATGTTGCATTTTTTTAAAATATTTAAAAAATTGTGGTAAATATATAAGGGCCAGAAAAGAAAAAATAGATAAATTACAATGACCCAACCCAATTTTATTAAAAATCACAACATTTTCTATAATGGCAAATTTAGCCTTTTAAAACTTGTAATTTAAGTTACATTGGGATAAATTGTATTGGAGCTTTAGAAATATTTTTGGAGAAACAAGAACTCTAAGTCTATTATTTAATTTCGAATACAAAAACTCCAATATCACTGTCTTGAAATTGAATGTGATGACGTCTATAACAAATAATAGTTTTATATGTGAGTAAAACAACTTGCAGATGTTCCATTCTTTAGAAAGGAAAAGTCGCGTTGTATTTTGGTCCAACACGTCAACCTAAATTCACAAGACATAATAAATATTGTGCACTAACACAACTTAAA